CAAAGCCCCTATTTTTCTCCCAGGATTGCAAAATGCTTGATGTGTATCGAGTAACCAGAAACGCCGACCTCGTGCCAGCACTTTGTGCTCTTTGTGGGTGGTGGGCTCCTTTTGCTGAACCCCGGTGACTGTGGAGATCGGATAGAGCTCATCTCCAGCTCCTTGGAAGAAATATTCTTGGGATCCTAAAATCCAGACTAGCAGAGAAACTCCACCAGCGCCGCCACCGCACGATTCCAAAGCACACCCACTGTCTTGGCGCCCTCCTCCATTCCTCGGAACCCATCAAACCCCATCTTTATCAGCAAGCCACCGGTCTCTTTCCTCCTAGCCGTGACAACTCCTCTCAGCCGAACGCAGGCCGGCACACCCCTTCCTGTCCCGGGCACAGACAGCACGCCCAACCCCCTGTGCAGCCAGGCCCATCAGGTCCGTCGGAGGGCCCGGCCTCCAACGCCCAGTCCGTGGCGCACTCACGTGGCACACTCGAGCACCCCCCCCCACACACACACACACACACTAGCAGCCTGGCTGCTCTGGAAACTCGCGGGGCAAAGAGTCCCCACCCCCTCAGCTCCATCGGCCACGAGAAAAGTGGGTGGGAGGAAGTAGCGACCCGCGGAGAAAGAGCGGATAGGAGCGAAAGCCATGTAGGAGGGGAGGACCAAGCAGTAACTGGGTGGTGTTGCGACTGTAGCGCCTCTCCAGTCCGCCCAGCCAGCGGGTCCGCTTTCAACACAAATCAGCCAGAGGGATTGCTGCTCCCTGCAATCAATAACTCAGCCGAGTGAGCTGCTGAAACCAGAGGCGTCCCTCGTCTGCTCTTTAAGGGGCCCTGCGGCAGACTGAATCCCAGCCCTCTGCTTCCCAAACAAAGAAGTGGGTACCAAAATGCCGGGCGAAATTTTTAACCCCAAACTTTCACCGCATCCCCTATTAAGGATCTCGTAAAATAAAAGAGCACAGACCTAGTGAAAACTCTAGAAGAAACGGTTAAAAGGGGAAGTGTGTATACCCACTCCTTAAATTTCAGGTCTCTTGTGATATTTCAAGAAATGAAGTAGAACCAGTGTTTCAATAAGCATCTAACAATGGCGAGAGTAAACGTAAAGTCCCATTAAATTTAGCTGTCTCTGTGGATTCTTTCGGATGAGCCACACACTTAGAAGCAAATTACCTAGCAAGCCTTATTTGGACTTACTGATAGAAGAAATGTATCTCACTTTGTAGAGAGAGTTCGGGTGTTTTGTTTGTCTGCGTATCTTTCAGATTTTGTTTCATGAAGTGTAGAGTGGCGAGGTCCTGGGAGATATGTGTATCATGACCCCCACTTAATATACATTACAGTCGAGCAGAGCTGAGAGAGAGCGACTAGCCAGAGAACTTGGCACTGAGAACTGGAACGAGTTGAGATCTAGGCATAGTGGGCCTGGGTTTGAAGGCCGCAAATTCAATGAGCACAGCCCTCAAACAAATCCTGTCCGAATTCTTCATTTCTCTGGCTGACTCCGACACGATATGATCAAAATAAACCATGTGATGGCAACCCAGAAGAATAGTTTTCTAAATGACTCCTCACTGTGCGCTCAGATACATGGGAAAAGGCCCTTGTGATCTGCTTTGTCATAGTTGGTCCTTTGGGGGGACTGCTCCTGTTCTGAAGCCAAGGAAAGAATCATTAGTGTACCACAGTAATGGAAAGCTAGTCTGAGACAGAGTACCATATAGCTAAACACAGCTTGGAAGAATAAGGTGTTGCGGTAGAATCCATGCACAGGCCTGAACCCACATCAGTAATCACAAAGCATTTGACATGGCCCTTGAAGCAACGCCTAGAATGAGCCTTTTCACCAACTTAGATGTTGTTACAAGTATCTCCGAATTTGACAGATTTTGTTATCATCAGAAATGGTAGGTTTTTATTTTACTTTTGTTCTTGTGATTCTTCATCAGATATAAAATCAAAGGTACAGACGTGAAGATAAATATAGGCTCACTGTCTATGAGAAGAGGCATATAACAAACCCTTGTTTGGTAAACAGATCTTACGTGACACTCAGTGCACATGCTGTATGGTCTGCTTGGGTAAAGCTGTACTAGTGAATTTGTAAAATTTAGAAGTGTGCCATCATTTTATTTTAAAAAATTATGGGCACCATCACAGTGGATCATTTAAATTCTTTTCTAGCTAATGCAAATTATTTGAGTTTAAAATAATAAGTTTCCTTACTTTAAAAGTTTTTAAACCATACCTGCCTGAATCTACTTTAATGTCAGCTTTAAAGAAAAATAACTTTTTTTTCTATACTTACACGTTTTTAAGGTGCCAAAAAAAGAGTTGAAAACTGTGAAGTAACCTCTGAGGAGATGAAGCGGAGCATGGACGGCAAATGGCTGTGGCAGTAAAGAAGGTGTAGGTGGTGAGTGGTCACGTTTATCTTTTACCACAAACTTCCCATAAAAGTAAAAGCACCAGTTTCTGTATGTTAAAGTATTTAAAATATTGGCACACGTGGCAGTGATGCAGTTGACCATTCTTGTCCTCAGAGTATCAGCATGCTGCCTAAGCCAAGTCAGCATCCGAGGCCCACCTTTGCAAGTCTCTGCTACAACTTGTCTGTTTCCTGGCAGTTACACACACCATCACAGGACAACTACAAAGAGGTTAAAATATGTTTTGTGTTGTAGAATTTAAATCTTACCATGCTTCTCTGATTTTTCTAAACTTTCATGTTCAATTATATTTGTGTTGAAAGTATTCTGGCTGAAGAACAAATACTGTACACTTGAATAATCTTAAGGGGTAGATTAATCTATATCCTTTCTTCATCTCAGGGTAGGTTGCTGTGGCAACCGCCCCAGCTCACTTTAAAATAATTTTTTAAAGCTCACTTCAAGAGCTACACCCAGCGTGGGCCAGGCTTAAAAGCAGGCAGACCCAGTGCACAGGGCTCTCGTAGAGTGAGTGCTGCTTTAATGTAGGGAAGCAGAAGAAAAGAGGGTGGAGTAAGATGGCACAAACCAGGAATTGGAATGTTAGCTTTTTCTAGAGCTGAAACAATCGCCATGCTCTATGTAACTTTAGTTGTTTAAATGTATTGTTAAATCAGTCCTTGGAGAGGTCGCTAATGTGTATTTATATTTAATATAAAGCACTTATAATAATTAATGTAAGAAATATTGGTGATTACACACACACACACACACACACACACACACAGAGAGAGAGAGAGAGAGAGAGAGAGAGAGAGAGAGAGAGAGAGAGAGAGAGAAAGAAAGAGGGGGCGATTCAACAGTACACCAATCCCAGCCATCATGTCGCTCTTTTTTCTTAAAGGAAAGTTACCTTTAATTGACTAGACAAATCCCTATATTCATCCTGATATAAATGATATAATATATAATATATTTTTTGTTTTTCAAGCACAGAACTAAATTGGAGAGCACGTATAACCGCACAGACAGAAATCTAGAAAGGATTTATCTTTTAGTAAGACAGTTTTTGTGTTTTCTTGTTGGATATCAAACCATAAGCAAAGACCTGGTGCGTGCTGGGGATGTTAGTGTCCTGCCACTGAGACACAGCACCGACACAAATTTTGAAATTGGATTAGAGAATTGTGAGTCTCCCAGTACCTAGACCAACATACTTCCTATACAAGAAAATATTCTGATCCTCCCCAAGTCCCATTAGGGAACAGGAAAGCCCAGTTTGAGTAAATTTATGTAAATAAAATAGTGCAAGTCTGAGGTGATTTAAAGACAAATACAAAATACACTCTGGATCAACCACCTCATGCGTTACCACTAACTAAGTTTAAGGCTCAGGTAATCATCTACTGGTTATTTTCATGCAACTTCTTCCCTTCCCCTTGAGTTACACAGGCTTATGTGAAGGTAACTAATGCTAGTATTAACATAAGTCACACATAGTTAAGAAGCTAAATATACTGAAAGCTGAAATCTTATATTTTAATACCTTCCAGCCCTAAAGTTTCAAATCATCCTCACTTCAGCTTAGCATTTTTTGAATGTTTACCCTATTGTTGATAAATATGAATTTGTTATAATATTTATTACTAAATAACTCTTTGACATGTAAAAGGGTCAAATAAAAGTTTCATTTTGAAGGAAAATAAATCTAAAACTGAAATAGACTGTGATAAATAGAAATATCCTCTATAATGAACTATAATAGCATAATTGAAATTCATGTATTGACTGTATCTACTTTGTCCTGTAACATAGGCCATTTCAGTTCATTACATTAATTTAAAGTACTACGGCAGTACATTCCCATGGTCCTTCACATGGTTTGTTCAGTGAGCATCTTTGGAAATCTCAGAAATGATCTAAATTTTCATTTACATCACCCTGTCTAGATCCGCCTCAGTATTGAGCATCCTTAAACATCAGAGGCTGTACCTTTAAAGAGGCTTTGCCATACTCACGATAGTCACACAGTTGCTATATGAATGGCAAGCACGGTAGAGTATAGGTACTAATTTGCAAAAACAACAAACAAACAAAAAGCCACTATGTTCCACTTTGTGACAGTTTGTCATGCTTTCCTGGGATAAAAGTAGCTCTACTAATTAATAGTCACACTGTAAGGAGCCATACGCTTGAAGAGAGTTCAGGTGTAGCTTAACTTTCAAGTGTAGCCTGTGGGGGTGTCTAGATGTTGGAGCCCACTCTTGTAGAGAAGCCAGGGGCTTCAAACAGCCTGCACAGTGAGACCGGAGGCCTTTTGAGCCCACATTGTCCTCCTGCAGTTAAAACAGTCCTCTGCAGGCCTGCTGAAGAACTTACCAGGAAATGCAGCCTCCTACGGTTAAACACACAGTGTTGAAAGGACGGTTTTTTGAGAGGAGGGTTTTTGGTTGTTCATTTTGTTTTGGGTTGTTTTTTTTTTGTTGTTGTTTTTTGTTTTGTGGGTTTTTTTTTTTTGAGAAAATACCTTTAGTTAGCTAGCTATTTCACCGTGCTACCGTTGTATATCTTGTATTTTCTGTGTTATGGTCCTCTGTGAGCTTTCTCTTCCTCCAGTCATAATATTAAAAAAAGTTAATTTGTTTTGAATGTTTAAAAAATAGACCCTACCCAGGCATGCAATCTTGTCTTGTTTGTTTGTTTGCTTTGGTGTGTGTGTGTGTGTGTGTGTGTGTGTGTGATACCAGGATACAATTCATCTTTAGCTTTTTGAGTGCGGTGTAGTTGACTAGGGTAGGGAGGAACCCAATTTCTTTCTTTTTCTTTTTTTTTTTAAGTATCAGTTGTTTGTTAACCTATGTTTTCGCTATGGAAAAATATCGAGCAGCCTTAACCCTTAACACAAGTATTCTTATCAGTCTCTATTGCTACTTCCTGTGCAGCTGAAACTCTTCAGGATAAGTGAAGGCATCCGCTATCAGCCAGGGTAGCCTAATGCATTTGGGAAGTTGGTTTGGTTTACATGTTAATGACCTGGATAAAGTCCAGTAAGGTGTGGAGGAGACGCTTGAGGGAAGTAGAGGGGGTTGTCCGAGGAAGCTGTCCCCCTCGGTAAATATGTTCAGACTGATTCGAAAGTTCATGGCCCTGCGATAAAGTCGAGATTTCAAATACTTGTAATTATTTTATTACTAATATCGGAGAATCCTTTCGGCTCACTTTCTAGCCTACCTCTCCGGGTCTCAAGACCAAAAGCTTTGTACAGTCTGGGAGGGCAGGAAGCGCACACTGGGATCGAGACTAGCAGACATCCTGGATCGTGGCTTTTACGCGTGAGTAACGGAGGCGCGCGCGGACAGGAGCAAGAATGAAGTGGCTACCGCGAATCCAAAGCGGGGAGGGGGGGAGTCACTAGAGCTGCTCTTAGGGTCGCGCTCCTATTGGTCAGAGGGAAGATCCCGACTTCAGAAGGACTTTCCTGCTGGCTGGCTCGCAGTCTCCCGGGGGAGCGAGCGCGCGGCAGTCGAGCGTCCCCTCCAAGCGTCCTCCGCAGCGTCGGGGACAGAGGCAGGGAGCCGCCGCTCCCCGTGTTGTCTTCCCTTTCATGCAATAAAGAATTGTCATTAGGTTTGCGTATGGCATGTGCCATTACCCCACCGTAAAACTAAAATTAGCAAAATGTCAGGAATGGAAAGATTGATTCACCAAGATGCAATTATCATTTAAAAGTGCTTGATTGAGGTACTGATGTTCAGTGATTTATTCTGCATACCATATACATAATTAAAGTAGTGTAGTGGAGTAATTTATCAATCTAGTTGAGACTGGAGGGGTGAGGAGGGAGCTGCAGTATGTTTGTTTTATTAAAATGCTGCGAGGTCTAGTCCCGCCCCCCTTTTGCAAGAGTGAAACTGATGATTTCCCCAGCTCGCGAGGAGAGGCAACGGTTTGGGCTCGTAGGGATAGAGAAACGGAAAGGAAAAGGCAGCGCAGGCAAAGGCAAGAATAAAATGAAATGGGGGTGGGGGGGTGCGCACTGGCGCGTACGTGCTGCTTAGAACCCCAGCCCCGTGTGCTCGGTGTTGCTTGCCACCCCCGCGTCCCCTCCCAGTATCCTTACATTCCTCCCCCCCCACTCCCTCTCCCCCCCCCCCCCCCAGCTCTTTTACGCGACGTTTCTAAGCCTGTGTACTGCTCTCCTTTTTCCATTTGTCTTCTGTCACTTCCTTCCTGGACGCAGTTTTCTGGACGAGTCTGGCTACTTTTAATCCCATCGGCCACAGAGAGCCACTTTCTCCTCCTCCTCCTCCTTCGCTTCCTCCACCTTCCTCCTCCTCTTTCTCCTCCTTCTCTTCCAGCGGCTTCAGTGCGCGCGCGAATGCGCGATCCCGTGCGCGCCTCCCCCTCGCCCCCCCCCCTCCGCGCGCATACACGCACACTTCGTCTCCAGCTCTCTGCTCGCTCGGCTCGCAGTCACAGACACTTGAGCACACGCGTACACCCAGACATCTTCGGGCTGCTATTGGATTGACTTTGAAGGTTCTGTGTGGGTCGCCGTGCCTGCAGCTTTGAATCAGGTGGAGAAGCACTGCAAGGCTGGATGAAGTAAAGATTATCGTTATTTTTTTTTCTCTTTCCCTCTTCCTCTTTTAAGAAAGGAAAATATTCCAAGGACTAATCTGGTCGAGTCTTCCTTCATGTAAGTACCTCTGACATTTCTTGAAAAGAATAGAAATAGCCGGGGTATTGTCTCTGAAATCTGCACCAGCCTCTTCCAGGCAGTGGGTCTATCCCAACTCCGTTTTGGAAGGCTTAAGTTGAGGCTTGTCGTGCATTCTTTTCTTTAGATTCTATGATTTCCTTGTGTGGCTGAAAGTAACTTTTTAGATAGTAGTATCTGTTTGCCATCCGTTATTGAAATCACATCTTACTCGTTCCTGTCAAATCAGTTTGTTTAAAGTTTCATGAAGTTAGTTCACGTCATTAGTATGCTCGATAGGGTGGAGAACGTGGAGCCTGGTGGATTTTAGAATTTCACAGACTGTTCTGTGACCTTGAAGTAGACGTCTTAAAATTTAGCAGTTAGTTCTCTGTGGAAAGATGGTCCTGTGAGTTGCCCCCAAGATTGATTCTCCTTGAGTTGGGATTCTGAGCCACTAGTTCTCGGGATGGCTTTCAGCTCCAGCAGGGCTGCCTGCCAGAGGCCACCTTTGTGCATCCTCTTGCTTCACCAAAGTGCTGGCTTGAGAAAGCTTAATTGGTGGGGACCAGAAGCAGTGCCCTGGCCATGGTAGTCTATGCATTTCACAGTTCGTGTTTGGATTTCAGCATGTGCACTGTTGTTTAGATCAAGGGAAATATTAAGCTATTTTAAAACAAACAGGACTAAGTCCCTTAGCCTGCCTTCTGTTTGGACTTCGGATGAAAGTTACCAAACTAAGTGACAAAGTTAGCCATAAAGGAAGTCTACAGAGACGGGCACATTGTTTATTGTATGATTATGTATTATGCAAGTGTTTGAGTTCAATGCTAATGTTGTTTCCTCTCCAGAGCAAGGCCACTAATTCTTAAGGGAAATTTCATACCTGAACCATTTTGTACTATTCTAGATGCTACAGTCATTCTTTGTGGAAAGCCTTTTCCTCACATTTTTGAAACGGATGTCCTATAAAAAATACTTTGTATGTAAATGCTGACCCTGTAAGTGGAATCAGGCTCTCTGCCGGTTCTGTAACTGGTCCTCGATGGAGAATTCATTTCTTTGACACAAAGTGTGTTTTACTATTGTTAATCTGATAGTAACTCTAACAGTAACTGTCTTAGGGAATACTTGATGACTGCACAGGTTTTCTACGCGCTGTAAAGAAAACTCTAGTTGCCGTTCCATGCCAGTCCAGAAGAGTGAACAGGCTCTCTGTCAGTGGCACCTTGCAATGAAATTGTGGTTACAAAGTAAAGATATTTATGTGGGGATTAATAATTCCCCTCCCTGGAGACTTGCTAGGACATGAAATGTGGCCACCTGTGAGCCAAGCTTAACCTTGTAGTCATACCAATTTTAGCCTTAAGTGGCTCAGCAATTTTCAGTTTACAGCTAAACTATCTCATTTAATTTTTAAAATAATGTCAGCTTGGGCTAATCTTAAAAAGCAGTTCAGTATGTATCAGTATGGCACAAGTGGAGTTTTGTGCCCTATTGATTCAATTATAGAAAATGCAGGCAACAAACCTAATTATCATCCTCTAGTATAAGGATGAAATTAATCATTAAGTTTAGAAGTAGTCCCAAAGCAAGTGCACGGTACGTAAAATGAGATGTCCCTATGAGTTTTGTACTACTTGAAGAATAAGATATTTAATCATGAATCAGATTCCAATCTTGATTCTAAAATTATCCATCAAAACATACTTTACACATAATTTTTTGTTTAAAATTTGATTTCCCAGTCAAGTAAAAGGGCCAATAGCTGGAAGTTATCTTTGCTCCAAGCTGTGCTGAACTTTATTTTTTTAAAAAATTGCTGTTCTTACTAATATGGTTTACATAGCTTTGGAATGTGTTGTGCAGTTCTCATATGCCTTATTAAAAACAGTATTTTACTTCATTCATTAATTACGCTATTTCCATCTTGGTTGTGGTGCATGTGAATGTATCAGAGGATAATGCTAAGATATGCCATTTATTTCATCCTGATGCTTTTTTGATATTTGTTGACTTAACAAATGGCCATATCATAATAAGAAACAATTTTCCTCCCTTTAAAGTTAATCATGGGCCTCAACTTTCCGGGGCACAGATACTAAATAACCAGAGGAAACTTCACTCACAAAGACTTGTTGTAACTTATCTCATTTTTTCTTTATAAACAGGCTTATTTTACAAAATTTTGGGGAATTTATTCATCCTTATAAGAAAGTAACCAATGATTCCTGAAAATTGATTCCTGAAAAACAGTATATTCTATAGATTTCAAATACTTTTTCAGTTTTCTCCTTGGCCTTCACCTTACTCAGTGAATAAGCTGAACGGCATACAATTATGTGTTTTTAATAAATTATTCATTGTATATAAATTTCTTTAATAGAGAACTATACTATATCACTCTTTAGTAAAGGTTAGCATTATCTTTTAAAACTTTCTTTTGTTTATTTCTGTGTATTTTGTGGTTTTTATTTCCCAACTTTAAGCAATATATTTTAGCCTATGAAATCTCAGAAAGTGACAGGAATGGGGAAACAGCTTTACAGTAATAACTGTACTACATAACAAAAAATAGTTATTAAGCAGAGAACCAAGGTTTTCACGGCATGATTCAAAGCAACGTGGAGAAATTTAATGTGCAGTTAAGGTTCACAAAGTGGACTGCTAAAGGATTACTAATTAATTTTTAACTTTTTAAATAGCTTCTTTTAAGAAAATGCTTGTCTAATGAATGTCTAGCTTAGAACAGCATGCGTATTTCTTTTACACACGTAGAAGAACCAAATGAGAGGCTTTCGTTTCTGTCTCTGATGCTTAGCCAGTATGCTACATGGAGAAGAAGAGCTGACTCTGACCTCATTCTCAGTACTATCCCTAGATCCCATGGACTCATTCAGGGAAGCTTAACTCTTCGCTGAGATCTGTTACCTTCGAGAAATCCAATCAGATTACAGAGGCGAGTCACAAAACCCAAGCATCAACAGGGTACACCTTACAAAAGGCAGATTACACAGTTCACGTGCTATTCTCATAGGGCAGAGATAAAAGCTGATAAAAGAGGAACGGCGAGACCCTCTGATTCCAAGGGATTGCTAGATAAGTATGCCACAGCCCTGTTGCTTCGTCGTTATAAAGAGCAATTCCAACAGTGGAAAATTCGGTTTTTAAGTAATAGGCTTTCAATAGTGCAGGAAAAGAAAGTACGTTCCTTTGCGTGCTTTCTTGTTGCTTAAATTTTAATTTCCATCAGTTCTCTATGAACAGGCATCAAGTCGTCTTGGCTGTGTGAAGGTTACCATAAAGCTTAAATGCATTAAGCTATTTCAGAAGAGTTGTGTAGAAGGTAAAGCGGAATTGGCTAGAAATAAAACACCCTCATGGTACTGAACAATTGATCAGAAAATGCAAAATTGCCAATATCCAATATGTTTGCTGTTCTGTTACCAAGTATATTCTTAATCAAAATGAATAGTTATGTAGTTATGAACCAATACATCCAAAATGTATCTCTATGGGTGTTTATTGGTGAAATAATCTATACGTTATATATGTCTATTTTATAAATGTTATATAAACATCATTCTTTATGACAAAATATAATGGTTTGAGACTTTGTTAGCATATAGTTTTGTTTTACCTGTAGCATTTTTAGAACTCAAACTTCATACACATCCAACACTTCAGTAATTTCTTCTTTCTTCTAAAATTGAAGTCCTTTTACCCTTCTGATGCCTCCTAGTGTTTCACACAATAAAACACTAATGAGTCATCCATAAGTGTAAACATTGTGTTTTCATTGCCTACATATTCTGTGATATATAAAATTAATATTTATGTGTTTAATTTTCTGTGCATTACTATAATAAGATCGGATGCTGTAGTGAATGAGATGTTTCATCTGTGGACTTGTGACACATATTGGTTTACTTTGACTTTAAGAACATTCTGCTAAGTGTAACAAGTTTATACCTTCAGTTACAAGTCATGTAACCTTTTCTTATATTCACTATTATAGCACATGAAAAAATAGTAGGTCTCCCATTTTGTGGACCTGAAAATTATATAGCTGAGTTCAACACTAAAAAGCCGATAAAAGGATGGTAAAAGAATTCATCATTTCATTTAAGCAAAAACTCCCTCAAGAGATCCCAACTTTTGTGAACTCCATGTATTCACATGTGAATTTTTATGTGAATGCTGCATCGGAAAGATTTTTAAAAATAAGAGTAAAGATTAGTACACAAACTTCCACAAATGTGGAGTATTGTTTCTCTTAAAATAGCAATAGGAAAACTTGATCAGGGAATAAATGGCTCTGTGTGATGGAAGGGAGGCTAATTAGGACATAATTTCTCATGGCTCACAAAGTGCTTTCAGGAGATAGACAGTAGTGGACATCAACTGCAGAGCAAGTTTTCCGTCCTTAGAATCAGAGCAAAGACTAGCGATATTCTTGCATAACTGTGACTTCTGGCAGCTCTGATTCTACCTAAGACAATTGGTATTTGAATTTGTGATTTTTTTTCCTTTAATACGGTTAAGAAAGGGGACATTTCCCTTATAGTTCTAAATTCAAGTTCAAAAGCTTGTAGCATCTATGGGCCTGCTCCTTAGCTGTCACAGTGCATGCGTACACACCATATTCAGTAATACTGT